TCTGCGAGAGGCAACTCCAACTTACCATAAACAAATGAACGAATTAAGCTGACATAAATGGTTTACGGTACTAAACACAAAAGAATGTCTCTGTCCTATTTACAACAAAAAGAGGACTATGTCCTGTCCCATTTCTGTCGCTAAACAATGTAGCAGTGACAATAAAGCACAAACACAAACTTCTAGGCATCACAATCTGCAGTAAACTCAGCTTTCTTACTCATATAAATACATTAAAAATCAAGGCAACTAAAGCCCTAATGTACTAAAGATATTGTCCTTTAAGCCCTTGGGTTCTTACCGACTATGCCTACTAAAGGCTATCGCCCTGTTCTACGCAGTATTTGTGACTACGGGTGTGTTGTTTACGGTTCGGCAAGAGTCTTACATTTGGCGTCTTGACCCGGTACACAATCTCGGTTTGCGTTTACCTACAGGCACCTATAAAACTTCTACAGTTCAGAGTTTATACATGGAGTGTGGTGAACCTCTACTGTACAAGCGTTGGGTACTTTTAATCCTCTCCTGTGTTTATGAATCAGATTACTGCCTGAACATATTGGTCATGACCTCGCAACGTAACTTTATTCACACTTTTACTACTCTAACAAGCCACGTTCCACCAAACCGCTGAGTTTACGTTTTGAAGAACACTGCCGAGCATACGATATTCCTAATGACGTTATCGATATCGCCGCAAAACCACCAAGACTGCCTCTGTGGTCTGGCATGACTAAATTTTATGATGTCTCTTTAACCCACTTGAAGAAAAAGACACCCCACTAGATCACATAATTGAAGAGTTCCGCATACCCCAGGATAAATACAAAGGCTATAACCAAGTTTATATGGATGGCTCGAAAACTAACACCCTCGTGGACGTTGATATTGTGATGAAGAAAAGCGCTGTGAGTATTAGAGCGCCTCAACACATATTCCTTTTCAGTGCCGAAGTTTATGCCTTATTGGAAGCAGTGTGAGAAATCATCACTGGCAAATGCAAAAAACCAGTCATATACACTGAATGATTAAGTTAACTGAAAGCGCTGTATATATAATATGACTGCGAACCCCTACTTGGTGATATTCTAAATATGATTGTATCAAACAGTGAAAGCGTGATCGTTCGTTTTTGCTGAATGCCAAGTCATGAAGGGATACCAGGCAACGAGGAGGCAGACAAATGCGTCTCTCTAGCAGCGCAAAAAGTCATTAAACAAGACGATAGTTATAGTGCGAAAACCAAACGACGACACAGAGACAAGAAGGACACAAAGGACACGACTTGTCTCTGTGTCGTCGTTTTGTTCTCGCGCTATAACTATCGTCATGCCATACTAAATAGTTCAAGCTGCCACACTTCTAAGTCATTAAAAAGTCAGTATTTTCTTCAGATAGCCAGCGTAGTATTTGTCTAGCTTTTGTATCGAAAAGGCAACGACTGTGGGACTCCTGCACAAGCAATAAGCTGCACCTGGTGAAGCCCAAAGTAGGCAAACAAAAAACGTGCCGTCATCAACAACGTTTCCTTGAAGTAATTCTTTGCAGACTTCGAATTGGGCACACGCACTTCACACACAACCTTGTGCTCAGAAACAAAGCCATGCCGCATTGTGAAACATGTCTGCAGCCATCAACAGTCATACATATTTCCATTACGTGTTCGTATATCGAAACAGAATGAAAGAAATACTTCAGAGCACTATACAAACATTTCATACGTTTACACCCAAGTCCATTTAAAGAAGATGATCCCCTTGTTTTTTTGTCAAATGTTATCAATTTCTTGAAAGACAGCAGGTTTTTTTATTATATTCGGAATTGCAGGCAACGCAATGCCTATCACGAAACACCTTGTGTTTGGTGCAGTTTAGCTTGAGTTGCTCTTGCGCCACTGAATCCAAGTTAACTAACTAACTCTAAGACTACATGACATGCAACGCCATTTTCATACAAAATCTTGAACCAAAGCTTGAACCTTCTCAGTCTCAGGTATGCACCAATAAAAAAATTTTGCAAAACAATGTTATTTTATTCTCTACTCTTAACAGGAAACACAAAAAAGTTATGAATTCCAAAAATCGAACGGTTGTCCCAAAATTTGATGGTACCCATTTGCGACCTCCTGATCTTTTGAAGTCTCTAAGATTGAGTACAAGAAACATATCAGACCAAAACTACCTTCATTGTGATTTACAGGGCGTCCACAGTTAAAGAGATGTACTAAGCGTTGTCGTTCGTGGTACAACTAAGAAAAAAAAAATTCGCAGCTCTCAAGTACAGCGGGAATTGATAATATGGGATGCACTAATGAGAAAAGTTGATGTCGTTTTAAAATCAGCAGAACTTTACGAGGTGGAGGTAAATGATGCCGTACATGACTTCCGCGTCATGATTATCATGTATGGATGTGGCATTTACGTTCGTCATCTATTCACATCACGTGATACCAAATTTATTATATGTGGAGCTTGCGAAACGTCCGCGAGCACACTACGAGCGTGGTATTTTGTCATGTTCTGACCCGACACGTGTGTCAGGATTATCATGCTTTCACTAGTCGTATATTTAGTCATCATTTGACGTCACGTAACACCACATTCGTTATATGTGGAGCTAGCAAAATGGCCGCGAAGGCATCATGAAGGGCCCAATATACATTATAGCAGCGTTGACGCGCACGCACGCTGAGCACAGCAACGCTACGTTAGCAAAACGCGAGCACTCTATAGGCACCCAGCAATGCAGTTTACGATATGTGATGGTAGCGCCAGAACACACAGCCTAGCGAATCGGCGCAGCAAAACCGAGTCTTTCAATGCGTAACCTAGCGAGTAGATGCAGCAAAACTGAACTTGCACGTGCATATCATTTTTTTTAGTTGTGAGCAGGTGGGTCATGGCTGATTATGCAAGCGCCCAGGAAGCGTTTTTTGGGAACGTGCCAAAAAGGGCACCGACACTTCAGCGTGTCGCTGTGTTCAGCGAGCATTCCATTTTCTTAGTATCCCTTGCGGTCGGTACCAACAATGCAGAAGCGACCCAAAGAGCTTCGTCGTGCCCTCTGGTCCACTGTCAGGTGACTATAATCTGGCACAAGGCGGACCAGCATCCGTCAGCGCGGCTCGTCGGCAACCAGCGCAAAATGCGACATGCTGCATTTTGTACCGGTGCATTACCCAGACAACACTGCGTCTCCCTCTTTTCGTGACGGAGGAATGCCGGGCGTGCTGAAACGTTCATGCGTCAAAGCAACGCAGTGCCGCGCGCGCCTGCGAGTATATTTAGCAGGACCGGAACCTGGCATGCCAACGCCGGCGTGACGCGATGAAATGAACGCCGGCGAGCACGCGTACCGCGTTACGTCGAAAAGTAATGGTCTCTTCAATGATGTATGTAGTCATGTTCTCACATGACAGGCATTTCTTGATTATCATGTTTGCATTAGACACATACTTTTGTCATCCATTGGCGTCATGTATTACCAAGTTTGGTACATGTGAAGCTAGCGAAACGGCTGTAAGCGCATCAAGAGCGTAGCATGTAGTCATGTTTTACATGACAGTCATCTCATGTTTATCATGCTCGCACCAGTATCTTAACTTCGCCATCTATTCACGTCCCGTAATACCAAATTCGGTATAGGTGAAGCTAGCGGAACGGCCGCCAGCACATCATGAGCATGGCATATACTCATCTTGTTACATGGCACGTATCACATGATTATCATGTTTGTACCAGTAACATACCTTCTTCATCCATTGACGTACTTTAATACCAAATTTGGTATAAGTGACGCTAGCGAAACGGCCACGAGCGCATCATGAGCGTGTCGTGTAGTCATGTAGTTACATAACACATATCATGCGTTTCATGTTAGGGTCTGTCGCTCGTGTTCGCCATGCAAGCGCGCGTTACCATACCAGTTTTTGAACATGCCTTGTGAACGAAACCAGCGCAAGAGCTGCAAGACCATGTAATGTAAATCAATGCATCCGTGACACACATGTCATGATTTTCATGTTATGACTAGTCAAATATGTTCTTCATACAGTCATGTTATGCCATACCAAGTTAGGTATCGATACCGTTATCGAAACGGCAGAAGCTGCTCTTGGCGCTTTTCCGATGATAAAATTACCTTTATCGCCTGTGCCTTGAGCATTCGTGCAATACGGATACGAGCGCTCGTGCAGTACTCAGTCATTTTCATTCACTCATTTTGCGAATATGACTATACACACCACAGCACTTCTCAGGGCTTTCTGATTGCAGCTCATTATTATATTACCAAGACAAATTTGGACACGCAGATACTGAATTGTGATAATCTGCAGCTTTTAAAACAACCGTACCCAATTGGGTACCCAGGAGGCGAGAAGGTCAAAACTCACAGCAGCCAAAAAAAAGTGAGAAGACGAAATGAAAAAGTTGCGTCTCTTTTATCCTTTAAATGACGTTAGCAGTAAGGAAGTGCTCAGACAGAACCAAAACTTAACTTCAATTCATCTTTAACATTCTACGGATGGGAATATGCACGCTAACGGAGGTATTCACAGTACCGAATTTTCTGACCCCGCTGATGGCCAGGCCATCTATTCAGGCACGATTATGACAATGTAAGACAGTTCAGTGACGATCGGTGATTTGTTAGTATTGGTAGCAACGTTTTTAAAGACTCATTATAAGAGCACCTATTTGTAGAGGCCCCTGAATCTAAACAATTTATTGTCACTTTTGTAGACCTATTTAGTTCCATCTTCAAAAAACTGTTATCTTTATTCCCGTCAAAATGTAAAGAAAGTGCGTTTGAAACAAAATTATAGAGCGAAAGAGAAGTCCATCATTTGTTACCAAAAGGCGCACTTCTCGCGTGGATTCATCGGAGATCCTGGCGCGCAGCCAAAGGCACGGGAAAACTTCGGCATGTTCATCAGAGGCACTATGCACCTCGAGCGGAGTGGCGCGTACCGTTCCTCTAACGTTGTACGCTCCGCGCACCATTTCACACAATGGTTGATGAAGAACAAGCGTTCTGTTAATATGTCGAGGTTGACTAATTTTATGTCCTTGTATTTTTGGGGCAACGACGAGTAGGCAGCATACGCGACCATGGTCCCCACAAGGTCGGCCAGATTCTCCGAGTCCACCGTGTCGTTCAAGGTTTCGTGCTGGCCGCTCAAGGACAGCTGGAAGTAAACGGCGAGTATTTAGTCTACAACTCATGCTGATCAAAGTAAAATAGCTGTGTCGTTCGCTTATCTCGTCAGATACATAGAAAATCGGTTTTATTTTCATTCAGTACTCTACCCTTTGTTTCACGTGGATCGTTCCACATGTGCTGTTGTACATTCATCTGATGAACACCTCTGATAGTTGAAAAAACTTTTGATGTCCCAGGCCTCCTCGCACATTGCTTCTCAATTACCTAAAGTGAATACTGTTTTGGTAGACAGCATGTTGTGTCGCACATTACGGGCACAAACAAAATACCATTATTATCCTTATAAGTGGCGCTGCTGGCTCTATGAAGGGGTTAAATGCGTTTCTTTGTTTTTTAGTCGAAGTCAAGAGTGACCTACAGGCAGGGGTGGGTTTTGTGCCGATATATATTTCTTCCCGCAAAAGATAAGTAACAAAAGTTAGGTTCAGATAAACAACATTCGCTGATCTCGCGTTGTTTTGAAGCGGTTTCGAAACCGACAAGCAGATTTGCTCACAAAATGTGATATCATAGATGTACCTTCTACAATGAAACTACCTTGTCTGTCGACATGGTGCTTCGGTTTCTTTACTTAATAAATATGCGATTTTTATAATTTAGCTGGCAAATTAGCGGATTCCAAACTTCCAGGTCGTTGTTATATTGCTAAGTGCGAAACATCAGCCGATAGGTCGTTGTTGATTTAGCATTTCGACAATTAACATCGAATATATTACTATTTATTGACAAGCACATTTGAGAGCACAAACACGTTTATTGACATATAGACATCCAGCACAACAGCACTGAAATACAGCACGTAAGACGCTGTTGTGAATGGTCACTTTCAAGCAGGTGTGGTAATATCGCCACAAAGTTTCTAGTCAGTTTATCGTAGTTCCGAGCACGCGAATATCAAACTTTTTTAACGCACGTTCAGAATATTCATTTCCTACTTTTTTACATATCTCCAGCAGGCAAAACAACGTAATAGGAGTTTGTCTTTTGAAGTAATCATGCCATGACAGCAGGCGAAATCGCTACAACGTTAACCACGTTGAACTGAAAACAGCAGACTGGAAATAGCTGCATGTACCAGATATGCAGATCTAATGCGATGTACGAGAGTGTTTATTTTACTGATTCTTATTTAACGCAGTGCAGGCGCTGTCCCCCACACCAACTTAGAAAGCATTTTGACAGCTATTTAAAAGTTGTCAACGTTGTTGTGGTACATTGGTTTTATTCTCTCTGTGACGCTGCAGTGCTACAAAATACAAGCAAATAATAGCAAAATTGTAAGTGCGCCGTGAAATTTCGCAGAGACAGTTTGACCGCATGAAGCGTACCTTACTCACAACTACAAATATCGAGCATTTTGTACCCTAAAATGTTGCAGAAACATCTTCTTCAGACACAAAAATCATAAATTTTCATACCAACGTTTCATGGCCAAATAGACACATTCTAAAGAGACGTTAAAATAAATCATACTCACAACAGATTTATGCGAGTGCCTCAAGCAGAGCGCCCTTTTAGTGTACTCCTTCACGAACTCGCTCGTGAGAATTGTTTTGTTGTGTTTATTCACTTGTATTCCGTCGACGTCGAATGCGTGCATGATTTCGTGTGCTATTATCTGTGATTAGGAAAACGTAGAAGAGGAAACAGGAAAAATAATTTGTAGAATGGTGCTATTATGATCAGCGGTTGAACGGCTTTCAAATAAAGACCAGCATTGCTTCTACAAAAACAGCCGTTGTTTTCCTATACTTTCCGATGCCGTGATCGCAGTCAACGCGAGAAACACCGAACTCCTTAATGACCAACACAGGCTCGCGTTCATGCAGTTTTTGCATTTTCTTCTCAAACGCTGAGAAATGACATTCAGAGATGTAGAAGGAGAAACCGAGGAAGACGTTCGCTCTCCACCATCTTGGAGTTTGTGGAGGGGACCGGAAAATGAACGCCTACAATTAAGCGCCCTCAACTTGCTCGACAGTGTCTTCGCTATCGGCAAACGGCACTTAGAGTGTTTTTGCACAAATCTATTACACAGTATCTATTACACGAATTGAGGTAATCTTCGTTTGACTCATTTATTCCGCAGAAAGAACACTTAGGGGAGGCTGCCAGACCAGCTCTGTGTAAATATAAGTTTAGCTGCGAAATTCAACAACGCAATCCTGTGATTACGACTTCCATTCCTTTTTTGGACATATTTTACTATTGTCAATGATACACGAAGTGCTTAAGTTTTGATGTGGCCTGTTAGTGAAGGTGAAGTAAATTTCTCTAACAGTAGTTTCTTTCTTAATGTAGTGCCTGTTAAGAATTCGGATGCCGGTTATACCTCAATAACAGGCCCTTTAAAGATGAGTTTACCAGCAGCATCTGGCACTTCATTCATAAATAGGTCCTGATGTCCTCGAATCAAGACCAATTTGATCTCTTGGAGATTCGGGGGGACTGCGGTAAAACTATTGCTCTGAAAGCACTCTGAGCTTGCAAGCTCTTGTTTGCAGTAAGAGAGGCACATACTGATAGCGAATATGTCAAAATTACTGCCGAACGTACTGCGGCCGTTATTTTACGGACAGCTAGAATTTTCGCGAAAATCTTGTGCTCCAAAAGTGGCACGAAATCTCAAAGGTTAAGGGAAGAAGACAAGTCTAGGATAAGGAGAAAAATGCCAATTCCACATTTTGCTTCGCTTTGTGACACATCTGTCGCTATGGCTGCTTGTATTGACATACGTGCCACGTAATCTCTTAATATAGCTTCTGGAAACGTAGTGGTATAAATAAAGTTATAGATGAAGATATCACTTATTTGTATTTTAACAGCATTGTTAGTGGTAGGTGATATAAAGTACAGAATTAGTTTCAACGCCTGGTATATCAATAAACGCTGTATACCCCGAATTTAAGGCTCCGAAATCTCGGCCAGTAATGTTCAAAAACAAGTCAGGACGGGCTACTAAAACTATTTTCAAGCGCCTTACTGATGATTCATGCAGTCTTAGAAATGACTGCGTACCTAATAAGAATAATAAGAGTCACAACTTGGATAGCTTTTATAATATTTGCATCAACACGTGGGTTTTCTCTCGTCCTTTTTCACAGGACCCTATTCGGTGGTACATCTCCCGCACTACAACAAATAAACGCTACTACCCCTAACACTCGACTTCAGCACAACTGCCACGCCAGAACTGAATTTCGCGTAATAAAGTTTTGATCATCATCATCATCACGTCGCTCGCGACGGAGGGCCCATTCTTCGTGTCATTGCCAGGATGAGGTACACAGTGAAACTGAATCGAGCGGGACAGTGAAATTTTCGCTTTAAAAATTGGTACTCACCATTCCAAGCCCACCGTAATTGAGGGCGATTGGCCCGTCCAAATACAAGAATGGACTCTGCATTATGCCTGGGGATACGACAATATCGTTGTAGGGTATTATGTAGAAACCGTTGGGTGCAGCCTCGTTGTACAGCAAATCATTTTGGTCAGTCCAAGTATAGTGAGAAGATAAAGACAGCACCTTCATCCACGTGGGGAAAAAAGGTTCCTGTGGTGCGTCTGGATAAGGCCCTGCGATAGCCGATCAACAATACGTTCTTACGATAATCTTGGTCACTCACAATGAACACACTAAGCATACAAAAACCTTTGACTGGGTTTTCATCAATGAATGATCGCCACTCGAGACGTGACATGCTTTTAAGGGCAATTTATCAAAAATGCACTGCTATTCACCAGCTAGTTAAGGCAGCCGTCAAATTAGGCATAATTCAAGGAACCTATGCTTGTTATACTCGTGCCACACGGGCCGAGAAAATGGCATTTCTCTCTAAATGTCTTCAGATTGAAGGTCATTCGCGTGGTGCCACACGGATGAACGAAATGGCATTCGCCCAAAAGCCATTCGTCACCTAATGCCATCGCCAGAACTCATTCAACTGAGAAATGAGTACTCTCGACGGCACAGCTGATGAAGTAATTGTATAAAACGACATTGATTCGACTGGTAGGAAACTTTTTGCGTATTTTATTTACACTAATCGCTTAAACAACTGCTTAAAAATTTCTCTTCGGCTGGTAGGCGCTGTAAAATAGATGAGCCAGGTGCCATTTTCTTTCTACTCTGCGGATCTAACTAACACGGTCGGTTGCAATGTCTTGAAACAAAGTAACGAACGAAATTGAACGGCAGCGTAATATGCTTATTTATACTTTTAATTATTATCAGATGTGTACGAAGCTTGTAAACGCTTAAGATTTTATTGCTACTCACCGGATGCTCACGAGGAAGGTGCTGCGATCGACATCATCAAGTTAAATGTCATTCGCTTTGGACGTGTAGCAGCGCCGCCGAAAAAAATGTCATTCGGGAAATGAATGCCTTCGCTCCCGAATGTCATTTTCTATGATCGTGTGGCACGGTTATTACTCAGATATGATGTTAGTCTCATAGTTTCTTTTCTTTGACGCCAATTGAACTAGAGCAAAGAGATCCAGCGTGTAGTTGAAATTTTTCTACTTGAAGGTTAAAGTTTCTTTGCTTGAAGAGACAGAACGTCACATGTGACCTTAAGATGTGGACTAAATTTTTTAAGATAATGCACGAAATTTCACATTTTAGGCGTGGGGAACGATTGTTGCAACTGTATTTCTGGGGGGAAACAACTACAATCATCAAAACCGGAGTACTAATCAAACGTTGCGGAGGTCCTTCTCAACGATGTCTGGAAGATTAGAGCAAACATGTTTTACAATTCTTAGGCGATGAATGCAATATAATCTTTAAAAATAAATGGAAGTTATACAGTATTAAAATATAGAAGTAATACACACAATAAAGAAATAAAGTTCGGTGTATGTGTGTAGTCGTTACTGACAAGAAAAAGCAGCCGTGCTGTTATGCCTCACATCTGCATTTGGCAATCTCACGCTCAACACACGAGGTGTGTCGTCCATATCTCAATCATCGCGTGAAAAATGTCACATCATATCAACGAAGTGACTGATGATGACTGGGGCGAAGCTCCAGAAAAATTCATCAGTAAAGCAAGATTCACACGAGCACATGGAGAAGGGATTGTTCCAGCGGACAGCGCATTACAAGACGCACACATGGTGAGAACCCCTGACCCTCACACTAAGTATATTCTAGACACTATACCCGCGCCAACCAGCCTCCTCCAATTGTGCAACTGATCTAAATACATTAGGTATCAAAAGTGGTTTCAAAGAGCATTTCATCTTGGGGTCCAGATGGTAGATCCATCTTGGAATGCCTTCAAGAGGGCTTCCCCAGATGGGTCTGTCTGTCTGTCTGTCTGTCTGTCTGTCTGTCTGTCTGTCTGTCTGTCTGTCTGTCTGTCTCTAAGGAGCTTCGTCCATAAAACCACTAACGCCATCTAGTGATATTCATTCTAAGGACATATACATAGAACGCCATCTGCTGAAGAATTCATGAACTAGAGGTCACTACATAAATACTACATATAACATGCCACATAAAAACGGAGGTAGGAGCGACCTACAGCCTAAAAAATTTCTCCGCTAAAAAATTGTGACGCTCGCTTTTGAACGCGCCAAATTAGTTCTCTCTGGTGGAACCACGTGTCAGCACGTTTGGTTCAGTCATTGAAACAAAAAACTATCTTGTTGAACTGATTGCTATGCCTTTCATTATATTGATGAAAACTCACGGTAAACCTCTTCGACGAATGCTGGATCTGATCGCCGTCCTTGACTTCCCACGTAGAAGGTCACGTCGATCAACTTGTTGATAAGTTCATCACGAATATCGCGGCCAATCCAGTTTGAGGAATTCAGGGCTTTCTCGAAGGCGCTGCGAATTCGATACGCCATGCGCTTTGTCTGGTATATCATGCGTGGTGGAACCACTGTTCGATAAATAGGCATACCAAAGGAACAAGTTGCTGCAATCGTATTGTCATGTACACAAAGCAAGACACACTGAATACTAGTAAGACGTTGACCTATGCAGATGATAATAAGAATATGCAGTGTATAATCTGGCAGAAGCGAGCACAAGACCGAGTTGAGTGCCGAAACATGGGAAAGGCTTTGATGATTATGCGATGTTTATTATGACATTTTGGGCGAGTCGGTACATACTCGGAGAAATGCAGCTTACAAGTGTGAGCGCTCGCTTGCGTTTCGTGTCTCCTCTCTTCGTCAAAATTGCGCTGTATTCATCTGAGACAGTTAGAACGTACACTATACATAATTTAAAAAGATGGTGTTTCACGGCACACCATAATAATTATCTAGAAGATTTTCAGTACTGATGCGGCTGCGTTCACCAAAATCTTTATACACATCTATTTTTTGTATATTGTATCGCTTTGATTCTGTAGGAATGCGAAAATCCTTGCCAATTTATGGCCGACAATACAATAATCTTAAGATAGTCAGCATTTACTTTAGCTTAGCCTTACAATAAACGAATTTTACAAAGATAATCATCCTTAGATATTACTGTGTCACTAAAAAAGTGGTCGCAAACGAAAATACAGGGCGTTATTTATTAGACCATTTCGTGCTTCCTTGACCGGCCACACACCTCGCCTTTCCGCATTACTAGGGCCTTGCGAACAGTCTGCTCCGTTTGTGTCAATAAAGCTTCTTCCCGATATAGGCGACACTGATGACCTTAATATGAGATACGCTAGGCTTTCGAAAGATCTAAAAAAACTTATATTTACCTAGAAAAAATCGAAAGCTGTAATTACGGAAACCTTTAGTTGATACTGGTTTGTAAACCACCTAGCAAATATTTTCAAAAATGTCAATTTCGCAAATTTTTGTTTTCAGAGCGTTACTTTAAGACAATCTTACAATAAAAAAGTAGACTTACCGGACGTGAAGTAGGAGCTCATGACCGCCAGGTTCATAAATTCTTTTATTTCACCGTAGCAAGCCGTGTTGGCCGAAACGTAATTGCGAAGCAATCGGGGCACTGTGTACTTGATCAGCTTTCTGTAGAAGCTCCAAGCGACTAGGTATCGCAACCCGTCTTTGCCGACAGATTCGCTCTTGAATAGATTTAACAAGATAGTAGTACTTTGTGGTATATGCGAAATTATGTCCGTACTTTTATATATACCATTGGTATATCTGGTGATAAAAGTCCCCCACTCAGCTGCAATTACGGAACAAGCATTACAGTCCCATTACAATCACACGATATTAATTTGTTTCATGTTATCTTCAACTAATTAATTACTCTTAGGCTTCTATGGCTGCTATCACATGCATCCAAATTAATTTCCGTTCATACCTCTATAGGCCAGAGCATAACTATCTATAGGCCTCTGGCGCCTATGCTGCTAAAGGCGTACTCTTGAAACAAGACTTCATTTGCTCTGAACTGCCAAAACCTCTATTTCTTGTGCCAAATTAGCATTGCAAGCGGCATCTCTGGGACACAAAAACACGAGAAAGTTTCTGTTCATGCCACTCCAGCACAAAAGGAGTCGTCTGCGCACCACTACGTTGTCCATGAACGCGAAAAGAATCATCGCAAGAGGAATACATTACTCAGCACTGTCTGCAAAGATTACAACACGACGCGAGAATCGAGACGCTGCGGTGTTTCAGATTGCAAAGATTTGCATCGGCATAGAAAGAGGACGACCTCGTCCGCCAGTGTATAACTGCAATCAACATGAAAAGTTATAAGCCTAGTAAAAGTGCATGACTGAGTTCATTTACAGCGTGTATTGAGGCAGTGACGACAGATATTTCACTTTACAGCCGCAATTTCCGCGCAGTATACCTATAGTATGCAGTGCCAAATCCTTGCCGTACTGTTTCATAGGTAGCATGGCAATATAGAAGATATTGAGGCCCGCACGTGCAAGCACGCTGCGCACTCTAAGTAGATGTGTAAAGGCGTTCTGTCATGATGCAAAGAAATGTAAACAGCAGGAAGTGTGACTTTCGACTTATTCGAACTGCAACATATCTTGACTGTCGCTATAGGCAAATCTGTGCCGACGTCGCTGTATCCCAATAAAATCTTTCTCTGACTGGCACTTTCGCACCGCGTATGCGTTGCGAATGCCAGGCATGACTGAGAAATAAGGGAGTTTCAGAATACCGTTTGCAAGCACTGCGGGCGTTGCGGGCGAAGCGGGTGCCATAAGAGCTTTAAGATAGCGTTTGCCCTGCTGCAAACCGCAACAAACGATCGCAGTGACACCGTAGCCTCGAAACCAGCGCTTGCTGGCCACATGCGGGCAGCCATCACCGCCCGTAGCCTAGAAACCAGCGCTTGCGGGCCACATTCGGGCTGCCATTACCGCACGCAATTTTGGATTTTCTGCGTGCGGTCCGCGAACGCGAACGCCGACTCGCGTTACGACGCATGCGCAGTGGCAGCGACCGCACAGCAAGTGCTCGCGGTGCGCTATTCTAAAACTCCATTTTAGAGACACGTGTGGTGCGCGAGCGCAAGCCTGAGCGGGATCCGGCGCTATGGTGACGCCGGCGCTGAAGTACCAGTTCGGTCTAGCGGCAATCAAGGCGTGTCGCAGCTCGGCTGAGTCGAAAAACGTGCTGTCAACTGTTGAAGTTACTTCCGTCGTCAGCAAAACTACTATTGCGCTCCTGCAAAAAAGTACGGCTATGGCCATAGCAATAAAATATGGTGGCCTGCAATAGGGATATCAAAACTTAACTTCTGAATACCGACTATACTCGGCTCCATATATTTGAGGTGCCAAAAAGAAAAAAAAACGCCCCATACATTTCCGTAAAGCCAAGAAAATTCTGAGGGTCTCTGAGAGGCGTGCTGAAGAACAGGAACGACTGCATCAATTTGATTGATTTGTGGGGTTTAACGTCCCAAAACCACTATTATGATTATCAGAGACGCCGTAGTGGAAGGCTCCGGAAATTTTGACCACCTGGGGTTCTTTAACGTGCACCCAAATCTGAGTATACGGGCCTACAACGTTTCCGCCTCCATCGGAAATGCAGCCGCCACAGCCGGGATTTGATCCCGCAACCTGCGAGTCAGCAGCCGAGTACTTTAGCCACTAGACCACCGTGGCGGGGCAACTCCATCAATTTGCGATCAATTTGCAATAGTGCCTGAGACTGGTGGAGGCTCTGACTTTTCCAAATGCTCTCCTACTAGCGTGGTCACTCTGTTCGTTTTTTTTTCGGACAGCTAGTAGTGATTAAACAATGAAATTGGGCGACAGGCAGGTATTGTCTCAAATGCGTAGAAAATATGAACGTTTGCTTGTTGGCATCGTAAATGCTAGTCACGCTCAGCAGTTAAGTAGAAGTACATTTATTGTAAGGTACGCGATCGTCATTTCCCTGCTATCCTAAATTTTTTCCCGAAAGTAGGCTGGACGCTGAAAGTCACACATTACAAACAATAATATAAGTACTTGCTAACTATGTGAAACTATAGTAGAACTGTTCACTTACCCCCAGTAACGAATGGTTTCGTATAAAGACCGAGCTTGTGAATGGGAATGTCCGTCCCAACACTTCCTTTGCCAATTGCGGCTATTGTGATCTCCTTCACTACAGGGAGAAGGAAGGAGTAAGTAAGGCAACAATAAAGAACTTAAAAATTCAATACTAGTACTTTCCCACCAGAGACATACCGCAACTATACTTTTTACGAAAGTTGCGCTGAGGACGGCCGTATGAAAGGGTTTAAAAAAAGCCCAAGCATACCGCACAGATACCACGTTGTTGTGTCACAGGACGAGATTTCTAACAGCAGAGCTATTTAAGCTTTTGTAGTGGCCGCGTAGCGCGAACAGAAACTATCTCGGCGCGCTCTTTCTTCACCGCTTCCTTGCTTCTAAAGCACATGCACTAATATCTCCAGCGTAGAAAAAATCCGATAAGTGAGAGAACAAATACAAATAAAAAATAAACAGAAAAATAAAAATCTTCGGTGAACGGAAATTTCTGCCCAGGTGGGACTTACACCGACGCACCCAAGACCTAAATGCGAGCGGTGCTACAACGCAATTTTCCAGGTACGCTATCAGAGCATAACTTATATTTTCATACCATGGTACGGCAAAGTGGTAAAAATGAGAAGTGAGGGTAAACAGGACGGAGAGGAAGAAAGGAGAGAGTAAGCATATAGGGAAAAATGATTGCCAGAGAAATAGACAGGCAGAGATGTTGAATGGAATGAAAGACAGAAAGAGAGAAAATAAAGAACACACACACCTTCAAAAAATAAAAGTGAAGCAAAAAAGCACCGGAAAAATTCAGCAGATCGAAACAAAAATCTCAGAGAAAATTGGATTGAATGATATAGCAAACCAGTATAGGAGAGAGATAGAGAGAGAAGGGAGAAAAAGAGCTATAGGAGTACAGAGAGAGACAAAGAAATAGGCGTATTTGAAGAAACAGGCGCATTTGGGTGTGTGCGTGTGTTTATTACACACGCACGCACAAAAACACGCACACAGTAGATTGGACCAGCGTGCGCTATTATCACCGAATGAGCTCGGTTTCGTCGTGAGACCTATCGAACAAAATGCGTTAAAGGGGCCCTAGAACACTTTTTTTAAGTAACCATGGAATGAACTCTCTGGAAGAGCTTTTTGCCTAAAAACTGAACGACGCAAAAATGAAAAGAAAATCGTCCAGTGTGAGTGGAGTTGCAAAGGTTTGTCGCATGCTGCAATTGCATTCTCCTTTCTCTGGTCCCAATGAAAGCGCTGGAAGCTATGTAAGGAGGGGTGGGAGCGGCAAGGAAACTACGTCACCCGCGCCTCATGACCTTGAAACTTTTACTTTTTTTCTTCCAATGCGCGGCCTTTTCCGTGTGATCGCGCGACCACGCGTGAACAAGTAGCGGTCTGCCGCGGCAATCTCTGCAGTGAGCTTTTTCGCTCACGCACGACTTTTTGCTCACAACCAACGGGGCCGACGCCGACGGCGGAACTTCTGCGAGACGGGCTCTCTAACGCTATCGCGTTAAAAGTGAGCGAACGTCGAGTACTGCAGAGAAACAAATATGGCGATAGTGAGTAGAGCACGAAGAGGGAATGTACTGGCAAGAAGACAGGTCCCGCGGCCCCCGCGTGTGGCGCCACAATACGGCGCATCATCGCAAGTCAGTTCTTGTCGAACGCACCCACTCAATGCATTTGGCAGTCTTACTGTTAGCCAGGCAAACGTGGTACGCTCTTCATGCGACGATTGACTTTAGATGTGCTGCGCAAAATCATGTCAGTCGCGCTACTCACGGCGTGGTATGAAAGCGTACTTTCATACACGTTATTTCAAACTGTTAGCCTCAGGTAATCGTAGAACACGAACACGTAAGCAGCTGCCCCATGATTACGCATTAGGCAGAGTCGTAATCATCAGTGAACTTTTTGTGAATTTCTAGACCCCAATCCACTTTGAAATATAAGAATTGAAGGGTTGCGCTTGGAGAAACAACATAAACTTGAATCCAGCTCACGGTGCATGTCGTATCCGCTTATCTTCAAAGCAAGCTGGTTGACAAAACGCGGCGTCACTCCGTAGTTGGATAAAATTGATTCGTAATCCTGTATTCTTCGGCTCTTGGCGAACCACGTTTTTTGTTCGCTACTGTACTCAATCTGTTAAGAAAAACGCAAACGTGAACAATGGTAACTGTCCTGAATATTCGACTTGGAGAAGCAATGCGGCAACAGTATCTAACCGCGGGTAACAAGCAAACCTCAAGGAGCACATGCATTTAGTTGAAACTTTATTCTGGCGTAGCTCGTGGCGACTGACCTGTGAATCGCGTGTTTCCAAAACTCGCCCACAACCACAACTGGCCCCACCAAAGCAACAATAAAAAATTTGCAATGAAAATGGGCAAACGGTTCCGAGCACGCAGTGAGGGTGACATCTAGTCATGTTCTTACATGACACACACATCAAGATTTCTATATACCTTCGTTATCCACTCACGTCCCGTAATGAAAAATCAGTGTAGTCATGACTTACATCAGTGACGTGTAGTCATGACTTACATAAAATGAATATAGTGATCTCCACGTTACAGTCTGTCCCATATGTTCGTCATGCAGTCATGTCATACCATACCAGTTTTGCAATATGTCTTGTGAACAAAACCACCGCAAGCGAAGTAAGGCCAATGAATGTAAATCATGGCAATCATGACAAACATATTATTTTTAGGTTATGACTAGTCACTTATGCTCGTCATTCAGTCATGCTATACCATGCCAATTTTGGTATCAATACCATTATTGAAACGGCCAGGAGAGCAAAAGCTGCAGGCGGCTAGATAGACATTTACGCTGAAAGTACCTGCAGTTCACTAGTAAAAAATGTTTCGCACTTGCATGTTGTCGATACCTGTGGTATAGGAACAGGTATGAGGCACGAAAGTGAAACGCTTCTACAGCACCCTTAGATGTTGATGCACCCGTGTTGACGCCTGGTGGCACGTCTTCTCCCTCACGACAATAAACTATTTGCGACCGAGATAGACTTTTCGGGGATCATGTATTATACGCACGTGAGCCTCGTTGTAATCACACTTCAACTACAGGCATTCGCAAAGCGTGCAAGCAAAATGGAACTGTTTCAAACGTCTTCGAAAAATTCGCAGCTCTGTCATCCTTGTAACTACTGTCTGTTTGCATATCCTATCCATTATTATCGTTTTCTGATAGCAGCCTGCCTTGCCCCTAAATAGCTTCTTTTGCTTTGACACGTTTATGACAATACTTGGTGAAAACAATAAAATTTTCGTGGCACTTGAGTGGTGTTACAAATCTGTTCAACTGTACTGCTGTTGATTCAACAGCTTATGTCAGGAAAGCCTTAGGCAACAAAAATGAACAGTTAAATAAGTGAACTACGCAACGAACAAAAATTCAAGACATTTGACACTTTTTTAGTCAGTAATGAATTACGGCGTCACTTTGCGCGACAGCCAATGCAGAGGGAAGTTTTGCGGCAGCGGCTGATTTCAGATAGCTCAAGCTTGAATAATTCGCTGCTTTATTTCTAACGAGAACCCTCTTGTCACAAAAATAAGGTAAATATTGGCATTACATCATCAAGTAGTCGTTGCGTGTGTATTTTTTTCATCAAATAAGTGATTCTATAGTCACTAATAATGCGTCGTCGGTATAAGGACCACCTTCTACGACGTTTTCTTGTTAGAAATTTAGGTCTGAAGAACCACAATCACATAGTTATTAAGAATAGCACACTTACTGGTAGTAACTTATCATGAGGCAATGAGTTAAACAGATAGTTGCTTCCTCACCTGAATTTTTCTTTTGGAATTGACGAATTCCAGCTCACCGAAAGTAATAGCTACCACGGCCTGCACTCCAAGATCCAGAGAGCCGCGAACCATCATCTCAACCGGGTTCACAGTCGCGAATCTCGTCTCGTTGAAGAAATCGAGGTTAAGCGATAACATCCAGTCGACGAGGTATTTCGTCTGTAATACAAACAGGCCAAAGCATTGCTAAGTAAGACAGCCTGTTGTGTAAGTTGCTTTTCTTTTTTTCTGGTCTGTTTCTGCTATGTTATTAAGAACCCCGTCTTAGGGCCGATTGCGTTTTGTTAAGAGGATTTTTACTCATACACAAATTACAATGCGAAATATTGAAAACAACACTCTGTTGGAATTTTCCGTTTGTAGTCAATATTGAGAGCGCAAATCACTCACAAAAGTCATCCAGAAAATTGCACGCACAGCATTAATTTGTGCATATTGCTGAAAATGTTAATTACAATGACGTAAGGCGAAAAACACATCTCAGCTAGCGCGAAAGCATGACAACGAGAAGTAACAGATGGCATAAAATAAAACGGAGCTTGATTTGAAGTTGAGATGTGACGAAAGAGCCCCTTAGTGCTGATGTGTAATATTATTTGTACAAATTGAAGGAGTACAAATTACACCATGGCAGCCTAATGATGCTCTATGTTAGTTTACTACCTACTTAAAGTACTGAAAAGAAGAGAGAAGGATCGATTTAACAAGAAATATTTTGCCTGCACCAGCACAATCTGAGGCGCTCACAGCTTGCATTTAGAACTCGTTAAATATTGTTATGATCCCTGTACAACGTAGAATTGTTCTTGCGTCATTGTAATGGGACACACTTTTAAGGGCAACGCAAATGACGTAAGCGACAGAGAGGGTAACATCAGAAGGGCATTGATAGAATTTGAATCTTCTTCATTCAGTATAAGACACTTTTAGAGCTGTACGAAAGCGACGCACGAAAATTTGTGTTAATATACCAGAACAGTAGATTACCGTGATTGATGTTTGCATCTCGTGCGCCAATGTAAAGGATCAGCGACCTCTCCCAGTGTGAGAAAAGGGGGGTATGGTGGTTGTCATGAAATAATACACCATGCAGAGTTTATAGGGGACTTCCATTTCCACCTGCCACACAATGGTCAATCTGCAGTTCTGATCCAATTCGATATTGACAGCTTGTCAATTTGCTGTGTGCTTTGCAGTCATAATGTACCTGTTTCTATATTTGCTTGCTCTTCAATAAGCAAGCCTAGAAAAAGTACGCTTGTGTGCATATGTCGTAAGAAACTGCCAAAAAAGGTTTTCAATCGTCTCATAGAAAAGTAATAAATAACTAGGCCCCGCCACAGTGCACTAAATTTGTGTGGCAAAGGAATCTAAAAATCAGATTAGAGGCAGAGCAATGTGCCATTTTTTCCTGAAAAAACAAACAAAACAGTATTTTAAATTTTTTTATCACCTGTTTAGTGCATCTTCTGACTTTGTGCTTTGCGAAACTGTGAGAGCCGCTGTGATGAAGTAGTTGATGTAAGCCATTGGGAGAAAGAAAGAGAGAGAGAGCTTTCTGTGTATGTCGGATGAATCAACAAAAGTAAACGTAGTGTCACCACTTTCTCTCTACTCAGCACATGACAACTTCTGGAGTATATCACTCGTAAAGTTATTTGTATGGGCTTACATTATTAAGGTTGTGTTAGTATGCACATACAAATTTACAAATTTCGTTGACAGATGATATCTTGCAATCAGTACACCGCAGTAGATAGTGAGAAATTCCTTTCAGTTATTGACAGAAACCAATTGCAGATGAAACACAGAAAGCAGACAATTCTTGACAAAGAATTTCACGTTGTAAGTGCACAGCACACTCACTATTCGCGATCAAGTGGACACTGGGAAGTTGTTATACACTGACATTTGTCAAGGAATTGTGAAGGGGTGAACACCGCATTCATGACGACAGCAATAGTGACGACAAATGTTGAACAAGACATAATAGGCTACCGCGATTGCCACTTCCAGCAGGGTTCATACACTGACCCTGTATTTATAATACCTTCTTCAGACTCTGACACCAATGTAGTGTGCCTTTAAAAACTATATTTTACATGGGCTAAAGAACATTAGATGACTTCGCCTGAGAAAACTACTACTTGAGCGATCTAGCTGATTTTGCAAGGTTGGTGAATTGGCGAGGGGAAGAAAACCCTGTTTTCATATCAGCGCATGGTACTTCTCATTGGAAAGCAAATCGATATTGCGGGCAATAATTATATTGTAACAGACATGTGAAAGCCAGAGAAGAGAAAGGAAGAGAAGATCGTCGTTCGCGGTACGCGCACTGCGATCTTGCCAGTCTTCCTTCCATTCTCTTGTCTGCATTTCACATATCCGTTACAATATGCTTATTTGTAGCAGCCCGGGGCGTGCAAGACTGCAGTCCATTAATTCGTGGTGGAGAGGTTCACTTCAATCGCTGCCGAGTGAAGACGGTGTTCATGCTTGCAACGCGCTAGCCTGTTCTGGGTAACAAGAGTTGTTCTTGATGAGAACATGGAATTCGCGCTTACCTCCATTCGGTTTGACGAGGCGAAAGCCACGCATGCCTGGTACATTGCGGCTGCTTTCTTCAAGGCAAGTTGATTGGAAGATAGAGTAATCTCATCACTTAGTGTCTTCATGTTGGCGACATGAATGTCGTTTTCCAGCTACAAGAGAAAAACATCCGTTGAGCAACTTTTCTTTCCTGAAAAATTGTTAGGAGTCTAATGCACGTGCTTGTGTTCTTTAGACTGAAGCCTGAGCACTGCATTATTACCTACTAGATGGTTCGCAGTATTTCGACTAAAAAACATGTTCCGTTGAAATGTCTCTTTCTACATGTTGCACGCACACAGTCGTTTCTTTTAAGTAAATTTTTTATACTCTTCATAGTGTAAAATTAGTACCTACTTGACATGATAATCACTGAAGGTTCGAGGAAGTGCAAAGAAAGGAATGTATTCTGTGGATTTAGGTAGCGCAGTAAAACTTGAAGCTTGGCGAATTCATACTTCAAGGTAAATACCTTTGCGCATGTCCGTCTCCGGTCTTTTTGTGCCCTTCTCTCTATTGGCGCACACGAGTACCTAACAAGGCCAGTGACAGTTAATCTTTGGATCATGAGAGCAACACGGTAAAATATATACAGTTAAAGCTGGTGCGACTGCCGTGCAGTCCCCCCTCATATTCCTTCACAGGAGTTTCAATGTCGCGGCCTCTTTGACATTCGAGCACTACTGTGAGCTACGAATTTGCTGTCACATGTTATAACTTCCTCAGTTTCGTATAACTTTATCATGTTCGATGGAGTGAATGTTAACGACATGTTTGCGTCTTTAAACGCCTTAGGGTGCCGGCCGGTGGTGACTCGTTTCCCCTTTAGGATTGTAGAGAATTTATGGGTTACGATGGGTGTTGTGAAACAGAGCCCGCGTATTGGGTCAAAAATACCTAAGAATCAACATGCCTAGTATTTACCGGGGCAGTAAAAATCATGACACGAGAGCATCACTTTACTTTCATGACCGTTTAGGATATATAATATTGTGATACTGCGGAAAAGAACAGCAACAACGAACCAAATGGCCAATTGAATGGTGGGAAAGAGCCTTTTTTCTCTTTCTCCTGCACCCATCGGTCGACTGCGCATATTATTTACCAAGCTGTAATAACGGCGTGAAATGAAGAACCAACAGCGTTGCCAGTTTTTCAAGCATCAGAAACTGTACAGTGATGGACGCCATTCTGTCATCATCTTTGACAGGGGCGCACACCCGATTACAGATTAGGCAGAACCACTGCTCCTGTTTCATACGGCGTCGTCAGATTTCTCACATTTTGATGGGAATCTGAAATACGCAATGTACTCTGGTTGTATCCACTAACCCTCTGGTAAGTGCGCTTATCATTTTACTGTCAGCAACTTTTTTTGTGGACATCCGCACGACTACAGTTTGAATTCTGTGTCAATTTAAATTGAAAGTCTGTTTGCGCAACGTTTATTTTTGCGAATCAGTCGTAAAATGGTCGGTGTTTGCTACCAAAAAAGTCACAGCTATGACGTAAAGGCGAAGCAATGAACGCGATAGCAACAAATTGGAAGGTCACGCGAAAAATGGCAAGCAAATCTAAATGTTCTCAGCGTTTCTAACGCACAAAGGAGACACGAAACGTATTCACAGGTACAGATTAACGCAAATAACCTTTTAAGTTGTTACTTGGCTGTGTCTGAAAAGCGCACCCTTTTCGCAAACGAAGGCTGTGCAACGATCACAGTGACATTTGTACCCGGCAACTACAGCAGAATTTTCCCGACGAAACTCAAAGGCTAGCTAGCTAAGACGTACGTTCTCCCCGCCACAAGATAAGAGCATGCCATCGAGCGTACACTCCCTACTCTCTACGCGGGCCAAAATACGCGTGAAATATGAGTCACCACGCGCTCACTGCGCCATCTTGGTGATAATGCTAAAAACACGATAGCCCCCCGTCCACGCTCCCCGAGATGCCCGCCAACAGCGGTAAGTGGTAGATTTGAATAGCTTGCCGTTTGAACGTTGAAGAAGATACCTCACAGTGGCTCAGCAGCTAACGACTCACATTCATGACACGGAGGTCCCACGTTTGATTCCGCGCGCCGGAGTCTTTTAACTGGGATTTGTTTTTTTTCCTTGCGTTTTCAGATATTATTACGTATACTTATAGGGTGCATGACGTCCACGTCGACACTGGGGCCCACGCCGACGCAGGCGGTGAAATGCAGCCGAGATTGTCCATATATTTGTTTTCGCAATAACAGGGTAGGCTGTCGTTAACTCACTGGAGGCAATCTTCCCGCTTTCATGAAACTGTTTCAGTTCAGTGCCATTGAGTCCAAAAATTCGCACTACTAATTCGGGGCATGATCTTGAGCAGGACGGCTGTGGGCGTATAGACGATATGTTGAAAATTTTCTTCAGTTATGATAGTATGAAACTGTATGGTATTTACTAACTGTTCATAAGGTTCACTAGAATTTCATTTTATTTTAATTTTCACTTGCCAAAGCAGAATCTTGAGGGCCAGAAGTGCGTGCTACGCACTTCTCACCCTCCCACTTGCCTAATTATGTTGTAAATATAAGTGACGGCATGCGTGATTCAAAACGCACGCGATTGAGAATTCTGGCCTAATTCACTGAAGTCATCGAATTATCTTTCAGAAGTAAGGAATTATGATCCACTTGAGCGTTCCTGACAACTGCGATTCACTTTGGAAAAGAAGCCCTTGGTGAAATGTTCGTGCCCCTTTCCGTCCAACGTTTAACTCCCTCCGCTCTTGTAGCTTGGCGTTGGGAGTCGCGTTATTGAGATCGAGGGCGCGAGCTCGATTCCCGGCCACAGCACCACGCATAGATACAGGCGAAATGCAATGAAAACTCATGTATTTATATTTCAGCGGATGTTAAAAGAATGCTGAAGAGAAATAATGTCTTGGTTCAGATTGCCAAAATGCACTCTGAGAACTCTAATGCGACGTGTTCCACCATCATAAGTTCTTTATTAGCACATAAAAGCAAGCTTGAAGTTTCATTTAAAAATTTCGGGCGAAGTCTCCTTGCGTAAACCTAAACTAATTTCAACATAAATTTTTGATATTTTAGCGACATTACCTCTCTGAAATTTTCCGAAAATTCGTATGCTTGGTCTACGACATCCACAAATGACAACGTACTTCATCTTTATCAATTACAAGCTACCTAGGACACAGTACAAGCCATCAAAATCTGTGATGTCGCGGTGTATGGTGTGGGACTATTAAAGGTGGCGTCTCCATCTACGTCTTCTTTTCACACAATATCTCGCTTACCACGCATCATGTAGCGCGAAGTGTGGTGTTCTCCCGAATGTGATTGATTAATATGTGGAGCTTAACGTCCCAAAACCACCATCTGATGAGAGACTGCGTAGTGAAGAGCTCCTGAAATTTCAACTGCCTGGGTTTTTAACGTGCCTTCAAAGCTGAGCAAACGGGCCTACAGCATTTACGCCTCCATCGGAAATGCAGCCGCCGTAACTGGAATTCAATCTCGCGACCTGCGGGTCAGCAGCCGAGTACCTTAGCCACTAGACCATCATGACGGGGTATCCACAGGATTGTGTAGATGTACTTTAGTTAAGCGCGAACAATTATTTTGCTCTTTTGTGTCCGTGGGCTCACACAACGGCGTGCCTCGTAATCATACGGTGGTATTCGTTAGTGGGCATATAGAATAGTTTATAATAGCAGTTTCCTTCGTGCATGCGCAGTGCATTTGTGTCGCATTGGCTAAAATGTAGAAATAATGAATTCTTACGCGTCTGTATATTGCTAGTTGTATAGATAGGTGATATAAAAAAAGCGCCCTTGCCACGTATGTTTCAATCGATAAAAACACAATATTGGTGTCCTGTCTAAGGCGTAAATAAAACAATGTTGTCTTGTGAAGGAGTGCCTATTGTATTTATGGCAGATAGTGCGCAAACGTTAACAAACAACAGAAGTCGCATGAAAGTATGCGATGTGTTGGACACGACTGTGGCTCAGCTTGTCCACGCGCCCGTAAGCGAGACCTTGATGAGCACAATCGTTTTTCCTGACACTTTCCGAAAAAAGGCAGGTCGAGTGAATTGCCTTCCCCCTCCACCCACTGGTTTTTAAAAGTGTAAAAATTATCGCAAAAAGTACTTTTTTGTGGCGAGGGAACATGCGCGTATTGGTGTATAGGTATCGAAGCAAGGATATACCCGTAGGCAGTTTGTTTGAACTCCACCCACAGCATAGACAAAATTGACCGCCCTAAGTGCGATATACGCCTAATATTGATCGGAGATATTTCACTCACAAACAACTATTCCGGGTAAACTATTCAGATTATGCTAAATTAGAAAACAATGAAAGTGCTGCTGCTTCACCAGTAGACGCTGGTATGTAAATGCTAAGAGCAACAACGTAAGCACGTGCCTCGGAACACAATGATGAGCGTAGTTGGGCATGCTTTTTTAGGGGGGTTGACAAGTTAGACCGCTTCATATCTTCAAAAAATTGGTTTCTTGGAGAAAAGTACACCCTAACGGACGTGAAGATTCATAAGCTCTATCATCGATTTTGTCCATTTCACCGTGTGTTACGCGTTGTGACGTGAAGTAATGCTCTCATATTTCGTACATGCGTCACATCCGAAGCGTTTTGACGTATATTGATTTCGAGAACCATAGCGACGCCGATGTGTATATATACTTAAGCTCTGCAGTATAGTTATTCTACTACGGTAAATTTTCAATACACAATAACTGCACAGGCTAAATCAGAAAAACATATGTTTGCAAATCATCTAATCTATCTAGCTTCCTCGAACAGAGTGCTGCGAATCGCATTAGGGGAGAAGTTATTGCTAATGCATTCTAACGAAGTCACAAGGATTTATTCCTACACTCAAGAAGCTGGTGGCGTGTTAGAGATGCCTGCCTTACAGAGACTACTTGTTCGGGTGAAAGGTCTGCGACATAACGATCAATCACGGGCAACGAGTTGCACCCTGTTTCGGGTTAATAATTATGCCACATGTGCTAACCAGGAGACCACGGACTAAGCCATATTTCGCTCCGACTTTTTATTTCTGGGAAATCCCTATGGATTTCCTTGAGGATTGAAGCTACAATCTGGTGGTTGTCACTGTTTTGCTTTCTCATCCTTTCTGCCACGCTGAGGTATTCCGCAGAACTGATTTGACATACGCTGCTTATTTTTATTTATTATACGCGAATGATCTTCCCATCAATTCAGCCTCTCAAGAGTTTCTCGCCAGATAGTTTCATCAGCTCGGCACCTCACGCAACATTCTTTACGATGTTCGTTATGTATTGATGCCGATGGGTTCATCACTAAAGCTGCAAAAGTATACCTTGTCTCTGACACTGTCTAGTCTTTCTGTTCAAGCAGGAGGCACCCGCTAGCTTTCTTTGAGGCTTTGTAGTCCTGATCCACTGCTTCAGTAAGTCACATAGACACAAGAAGCGCTGCCAAAGACGCGGTATTTTGTACTGGAATTTTTTAGACGAACGGTGAGATATTTGTTGGCTTCTTTTCTATGCGTTTACAGCGAACGACGTTGTATTTCGCGAAAATTGTTCTCTATATGCTGAGTTCGTCAAAATTGCCATTCTTTTGCCACCTTCTGAGGGGTAATCACATCAAGTATTAAGGAATTCCAAGCTCTCTGTTTTTTTATTTTTTTTCTGCAGCTGTGCCAGCCACCAAAACCGAGCCCAGAAGAGAACGCAACGGTACGCAAAAGACATGTAAGGGCCAGTAGTAGTTGCTATAACATCTAAAGTGTACCCAGATTTCGCCATCGTCATCAGGTTCATCATTGCGGCATAAAACAGTTGGAAGTGAAAAGAAGTAAGAAGAAAACAGAAAAAACAGGAAGAAGACGGGTGCCTATTTCCAGTGGGTGGCTAAGCCTTGGCACGTCATCTACTTGAAGCCGAGTCCTGAAGGGTCCATTTGTTTTCTCTGCCAACTTGCCTTAAAGGTCTCAGCACCACCGCTCACCTTCTAGCAGAACGCCAAAAAAAAAAAACAGCACTGCTACGATGAGTTACAAAGCCATACTGTTTTAATGTGACGCACGACCTTGAGGACCCTTTTTTTTGTCATTTCAAAACCACGCATGACTTCGCACGTGAGGGGTCAAAATGACTTTGTTGGGCCGCGTCATTGATGATGCTTCTCGCCATACCCCATATTTTGCACACGTTCCAACTGGAACATGCAGCGACGAAAACACCGCAGATTACCCGGCGGAAAGTCTATAGTCCCGCGCTTGGCGAGACAGTAGCGCCATTTTGTGGGCGGCACAGGTGTCAGGCGCGGGTTACTAAAGCCTCTTCAGAGGTTTTAGGCAAAGTATTGCAATTATATAAGCGTCGTTTTCTCGAGTATATTATCCTAAACATTGTTTGCTTTAACCCTCTTTTGCGCATGTCTGTATTCTTCGTTTAGGAGTGTATCGGGCAATTATTTCGAGAATACTAGCACCACACAAGATCTTCTAGTAGACCAACAGCCGTGCCCTCTGAAGTGGTACGCACTCAAAAAGTCTTGCGTAGTGCAGCGCGTAGTGTGCAATGTTCCTTCGCTACGTTCTTGGCTACATGGCTGTACGATCGCAGCTAAACATGACAGTAAGAAATTTCATGCCAGTGTCGTCACGTTCTTTTCCTTATTTCAGTTAATTTGGCTATAAACATTTATTATAATATTGCTTTCAAAACAAGCCGCTACTTCGTTCTTCCCTCACCAATTATGGAATATCTACAATAATATTTCATTACCAATTTAACGATTTCATCCTTTGATGAACATAATATACGGAGCAGAGAGAACTTGTAGAACCTAATGAAGAAAATAATAGGTAGCCTGTTCTACGTACGTGCGTGTAGACGTCGTCTCCTCTGAAGGTATTGCAGACGTACTTGTAGAAATCATTGCACGGATCAACGCTGTAGTCAAGCTTGGATCGCAGCCGGGTCGCCAATACACGGCAAACAACCCCTGTGCATTCAGGTTTGCTTTTGAGAAGCGGCGGGATAGCTTGCCCTGGTCTTGATAGCCTCGTTGAAGTATATGTGGTAATTGGTGGATGATCTTCGAATGGCGTCGTTACGCTGGGTGCCGAAACTTGCGGCTTATAAAATGCAGGCAGCGTGTCAGCCTGGAGGGATAGACAGCGCAGAATCCTAAGTGGTTGAAAGTCATCCCGTTATCTACATTGATATACAGAAGCTTACGTTATCCACAAGAACATGCTCACCAGTTAGAACAAATGTTAATCAGAACGCGCATGCCACTGCACAATGGGCATCTCACTGTATCCCTGCTTCGCGTGTACAAATCTTTATCTGGTAATGAGACAAGACATTGACATGATTTAGAGTAACTGAAATTGATGACTTTCATCGTGAGCACCAACTTAGCTAGATGTTTTTTACGTAGACTTGCTTATACACATTTTCTGTCGTTGAGTAAAGCAAATATATGTTTTAGTGCAGTTTTGGTCTTCCATATTAAGACATCACCTTATTTTTAATCGGCATTGATCGCTGAAGAAAAAGTTAACGTCGAGCGTCTGAGCCAAAGCTGTCGCTACTCTAACACAGCGGTCATGTACGAGTGCTTGAGACTGACCAAGTACGCCCCGTGACTGGGCTAGACGCCAGTGTGAGTCAGCGCTTAAAAACATCAAGCAAATGATCGAGAAAGTGTGTTGCTCCTTCTTAACGTTATTCTCACGGCCTTCAGAACTGTACTGGTAGAAAACTGCAGAAAAAGGTCCGTATTTTGAATGGCGTGTGCTTACCACACTTTAGCTCGTTGTCACCGCCCTTATCACAATATTAGGTCGTGACATTTGTCTTTATTCGCAATTTATGTCGACTCGTTGCGCAACTTCCGCGTTTCAATGCACTGGGTGTATTTCTTGCGGGAACATCATTTCACAAAGGGCTGACTCTTGTCTGGTGCTCCAGGTGCACTTACCTTGCAGGCGTGATCTTGTATTTGTTGTGGAGTTGTAAGGAGTGCAACTACCAACACAACTATGCTGAATAGCAGCCCTAGTCCAACAGCCAGCAAGCAGAACAGGGAAACGTCCATTCGAGCTTTTTCGTGACTTTTTTTTGTCTCATCTTTGAGAAGTTGGCCTTTGCATAGTGAAAGCTTCTGCGAATCCTGCGTATACAAGGTCACTGACAATTACAGCCGCTTTAAACAGTTCAAGCAATAGTACTTCGGTCTTAAGAGACTTGAGCAGTGAATCATTTTCACTTAAAGTGCGCAAACAAGCACACATACATGTACAAAGCCAAACCACCAACTGTGCTTTCTTTCTTTTCCTCTAAGTTTAATGTTTCATCTCCTGCCCCAGAACACTCTCGTTTGTCTACGCCGGCTAAACTACATCTTGCAAGGTAGTTTCGTTCTGTAGTCGCGAGATACGTGCAGCAGAGACGTCAGACAAACAGCATCAGCTAAAATCGCATATGTGCAACACGCCAATGTATTCGGAGAACCACTGTTAAGGGCAACGCTATGCCATTTAAAGCAAGTCGTAAAAAATAGCTGGAAAACGGAAGCGCAAGATGTGAGATTGTTCAGAAGTGAAAGTATGGCTCAAAGGGTCTGCTGTGTAAAGGCCCTTTTGCCTTACGATGTTTCGTTAGGCTCATTGCGTTTTAAAGTAAATAGGTGGCTGCGCCCCTAAGAATAGCCTGCAGTCTTCACACCATTGCTAAATTTTTATAGATAAATTTTTATACTTATACCCAACTACATGTCCCAACTGTGCGAATACACAAGCTTGTCTAATATTCATATCAAATCAAAGTGTATTTTCCGTATGTAGTACAAATAAAAACTGTAAAAAGCTGTATTTTAAAACGGCTTGACTAGTTCACATATATCACCAATGCCTACACAACCAGCAAAGTGGGAAAAGGTCTAGTGGCTAAGGTACTCGGCTGCTAACCCGCAGGTCGCGGGTTCGAATCCCGGCATCGTCGGCTGCATTTCTGACGGAGGCGGAAATGTAGGCCCGTGTGCTCATATTCGGGTGCTTGTTAAAGAACTCCAGGTGGTCGAAATTTCCGGAGCCCTCCACTACGGCGTCTCTCATAATCATATGGTGGTTTTGGGACGTTAAACCCCCATATCTATCAATCGAAGTTAGGATGAAAAAAATACAGAGGACAAAGTCTCCGAAAACTCTCCCACAAAAAAGGTTAGCGAAGATATTTTTTAAATCGCACAGCACTGTAACAAGACGGTGTAATGAAGGGCATTCATTACTTTAGAGCACTGGTTTCACATATAAAGAAACGTTCCTGCACTTCCAACTTTTTGTATGGGCTCACTAAGAATATATATCCAACACGAAATAATTTCAAAGGTTTGAACTGTTGAAAAAGAGCTTGGATAACGGAGATGCTGCTTAAGTGATGAAACTGAGCAGAAGAACTGTCGCAAAATATTGTCACCTAATATTAGGAGCACACTTGTTGTTCGAAAGATTTACACTCTTATCTCTTGTATGAAAGTGATTGCCATCAGTGTGCATAAATTCAAGAATACGAGTGATGTGTAAAGATTATCAGTGTTATTCTAACGACTGCCGTTACAGTGAACCTCCTAGTGATTGTATAGATTTTATATAATA